CCAAACTAGAGAATAATCTAATAACAGGTGCGTGTTTCACATTGACACCTTTATTACTGTGATTGTGAGCATTGAAGTGGAAAGACGGTTTCTCTGGAAGATGTTTGTACAGGGAATGAATTTGTACAATTTGTTGTTATATGCTGCGAATTCCTTAATGTTCTACAAATTTCATTTGGAATGAAGCTATTATTATTATTATTATTATTATTATTATTATTATTATTATTATTATTATGAAGAGTAGACGTGAGTGAATATAACAACAACGTAATATCAATACAAAAATGAATACTTTGACTAACCTCAGCTTTAGTAGCATTCACGATTTGCCAACTGAAGAGAAGGTCAATCAGAACTAACGGCGAACAAATTTGATCGATTGACTAAGTAAATTAGTGTGTTTAATCTTCAACTTGTTGAATAGTGTAACTGACAGGCAACCAATTGTGCATACTATGAGTAGTCAGTCAGTTGTTGCTATTTCATATAACAGGTGAAAAACACCACGTATTTCTGGACCAGTAGATTTCCTTACTACTAGATATTTACTCACTGTATACTCATAATGAAAGCATGTGAAGGGGAATATTCGAGAAATTATGAATATGGCAGTGAGAAGGGGATCAACATATACTAGTAAAAGAGCTTCTAAATAATAGCTTATGAGTGGTTCTTTTATCACTCTGATTTCATATATTGTTAATGCATAGGAGTACCTCTCTGTCATCTGGATTTATTGAAACCTCGAAGTTCAATTGATTCTCAGGTCATTCAGTGTGTCCTCGGTTGGTCTACATTGCCTGTTTCGTTGGGTTCGTGATGAGAATACTAACCTGCAAACATAAGTGTAAGCATTTAGGGATGATGCAGAATAACAGTTTATTGGGGGGTTATCGATCGCAAACATTTCCAGCAGTGTGAATCAAGAGCACTTGAGAAAACAAATAGCATGCAAACAAAAAAGAGTACTTACTATAATTTGTCTATGATTTTTGATGTCATTTATATGGCGAAAAATTTTGAATGTGTCTTCCGGAGGGAAGCACACTCTTCGTTTCACACCAAAATCAGTATATACAACAGGTTTTTGGCCGATTTGTGTGTTGATGACTGAACAACATAATATCACATGAAGAATAACGTTCATGTTAATTGTTCATGGTAGTTCATACACAGCGATATGCTCAGGAGAATACTGATTTGATCTCTCAGACATACTGAAATCTAGTTTTGTAATTAGCAGTTCATGTTTACTTTGGCATTCACCCCCAATGGTCTTTAGTGAAATGAAACCGTCGTGACTCACAACAGATATTGTGAGGTGTGTAATCATGTTTTCACCTGATCGGTTTTTAATCCTTCCTGCATGAGGATGTCAGTGTAAACTTGGAATAGCTTCCCATGATGTTCTTGCTGAAATTTCCTTGGTCGTATCAGAAAGTTTAGAATTCTACCACAGCATGAGTTGATGGTTGTTGAATTTTATTGGCAGAGATGTTAAGGAGATGCAGTCATTCTCTGTCATCACGTTGCCTCACGTTACTTATCACCAGTCTGAGCACCTTTCATTTTCCCTCTTCATGCAAAATGTGTTCTCGTATGTGTTCGAGATCAGATTGTTTAACACGTTTATAGCGAATTGACTTCGTATTTCAGATGAATGGAGACAAGTTGATTTCTCAGCAGTGACCGTGTATGTTGTCATGGGAGGAAATAGTGTTGGACGATATAACAGTATTCTATTCATTAATATCACGGAAGATAGGGAAATTGTTGTCATTTGATTACGTGTATTTTGTTTGTCATCACTCAATTATCTTCAGGTTAAGTGACTATTTGAGTTTATTGAACGTGGTGTCCACTCTGTTAACATAATATTTTACACGTAAAACTAATGATTACACCGATAGAGATAATGTATTTGAAGTCAGTCATCTGGCAACGAGATCAACTTGACAGTGAGGAGAAGTTGGGAACTATCTAGAAGACCGTGAACAGCTTGCGTGATATTAATGTGCTGTATACTTCATATGTCAAACATTCAGATCGAGGAGAATTTTTCAGTCTACAACACCTTCATTTTTTTATCGTGTCTACTTTTTTTTGCGATAGGGTAAGGTGAAGACGTTCACCTTCTTAAATCGATCTTCATAGGTAAAGCCAGCCATCACAGGGATCATACGAGAGACAGTAGAGAGTAGAATAGATCATAAGAATATTGCAGAGTCCACAGGTGTTTTGTTTGACCGCTAAGCATATCTTCGAGAGTGGTTACAGGTTAAGCGTTCTTCAGCATATAAATGTGTTCCTGTGACTTGTTAAGGATGTATCTGTAAATCTTCCGATGACTAGTGAATTGGGTAGTTCACAACACTCCACGTGTTTCAGAACTGTTGTCAACACATTTCAACAGCCTTGATGGAATCAGCTGTAAGCAAAGTGTAATGTACTATGAGTTCTGCTACTCTCACTTCCACATATTCAAGCCCTAGATTTAAAACCTTCATTTCACAGCATTACAAATCCTGTACCTAATGAATTCATGCAGTTTCATTGAATGCCCATGACCAGCACTATTCTGATTACATTGTTCAAAATATGTACGTCCAAGACCTCATACGATTCGAAAAGGTGTGACTTCCTACTCATGTTTCGAAATGTAAGAAAACAGTTACATCATTCAATGTACTGATAGATCAGGATAATATTAGGTGCTGTAAATTGATATCTTCATTTCGTGTTTCTTTGACAAAATGACAAAATTATTTCAAGCCGACAATTACCGATTGAGTTGATTCAAGTATACATACAGTTTAAATATCCTTGTAATTATTTATTCTGCTGTTTCCACCGTGTTGACCACATTTATGACTGAGTGAGGCAGATTCAGTAATCACTATGGAGTAAATGAGTTGGTTTCGTCCGGCTCTTGTGTGTTGACGGAATTATCTGGAGCACACGCATTGGATGCGAGTGCCGGAGAGCATAATTCTGGGTCCATGGCTTCCAGCTGATAACCTCCATGCAACTTACTTGTATTCTACTTAGTGAGAATTGCGAAAGTCTTCGCTCGTTCGCCACGTCCATCGATAGAATTTGGTCATCACTCACGACTGGAAAACATGAAGTTGATTATCCTCCTGTGGCCGACCAATATGTTTCAAAGACTACCTGATTAGGTCACTGAATGACTCGAAAAACTGGCTCCTTCTGCTTTCATTTCAACCCACTGTAACCAATTATTTCATTCTGGTGAAGCCGATGATGATGCGTTCAGAGGATATATATTCAAGTGAATGAAAGAAGTTAATGAACACTGTTCAGTGGATAAATAATGCAGCGTCCAAGGTCCAAGCAGGTCGCCGCAAATATTACTGTCATTATTAATTTCATTTAGGTGCAATAACCACTCTGTCTGAAAATATTGTTCTTCGACTCACTTCCTTGCAAATCAAATGATGAGAATTCTATACATAATCACACCCACTGTTTGCAATGACGCGATTATAAATATTATGTACTCAATTTGCTATTCGTGGTGGCTGGTGTATTGTGTATTTGCGTAGACTGGAACTTGTAGGTTATAACTAGTATGAATAATCAGTGGTTGATACTTGCGTCTTTCAATACCAGCTGAGACGCAGTCATAAACACAGTACAGTACACTCCAGCAACTCGTTGACTGCTTTTGTTTCAATTGGATCAACTAGAGATGTGAGAGTTTTAATGTTTACCAGAAGAAGACTAATAAGCAGGAAGTATTGCTTTCAGTTGGATTGTCTTCGGTCTCTACTCCTACACAAATTGCTAAATATGTATGAAAATGAAAACAATCATTTTAAATTTTGGTCCGTGAAGAGTGATTTAAAGTGACGATGGTGATCAATATGAGGATGATAATGATGTTTCTCGAGGTTGGTGGAGATATAATGTTGAAGGTAGTGTCCATGGTAGACGTGGGAGCACTAGTCAGCCATTCCATCAGCACTAGGCACAGAAGACATGGTTAGGGATCAAACTGAGAAGCTTTAGATTTCGTGGTGAACACATTTCGCATTCAGCCACTAGATCGGACTACAATTGTCTACAGTTGCCTACTTCTGTCGATTCGCGATATAGTACTACCAGCACTCTAGTTACCAAGTTGATATCCGCTTCACTTGCAATTAGTAGACTTCAGGGGTCAGCATGAAAATGTTTCTTCTGAAAGACTCTAGAATAAGAGATATCATGCCTATGAGCACGAAACTACACCCGAAACATTGTCAACGAATGAATACCATCTCACAGTGTGCTTCATCAAATGAACTCATTCGATATGGAATTGCACTCACATCCAGTGCTAAATTCGACGTCATCATAATTGAATTCTCATTATCTTAATGTAACTACGAATTTCATGATGCATTTCACAAAACACCTGAAGATCAATCCTGTGATTACCATTCGTATGCTATCGGTATTGTTTTTATCACAATGAATTTCGCTTTGCCACTATCGTCTACAGCTAAACAGGAAGTTAAATTTAGTGTCTTAGTGTATGCACTCTCTGTGTGTTAAATGTCACTGAGACAGACAATTACTGTGCAACTGTCACAGATATGTGACCACACAACTTCTGACTCTCGAAAATATGAATACAGTTTTCTTAGGCTTGCATATACTAAAACACTCGTCTACTTCTTCGATGAGCGCAGAAATTGCTACTTAAATATTGCCAAATCACTGACATGACTTTCATCAACATCCAGATATGAGTGGTCGCACTGCTTTGCGAATTTCCTGTGACCTTGATTCACTGATCAACCACTTTTCACTCGTATGCCTTGCACAGACTACGCGTGCACTTTACACCTTGTTTGATTTTGTAGAGCTGGCACGCTGAGCACCCTGCGATCATGTGACAACACAAAAATAGTGAAGAATACTTTATTTCTAACTTGAACACCTTGACATTGCGTAACTAGACATTTCAGTGATGCACACACCTCTCACAGTATGTTTTACAAATTCGATTATTGCGTTTTCAACCATACGTTTTAAATACGTCTTATTCATTCTGTTCGGTGTGTTGAGATAATAATGTGGACGGGTTATTTTAAACACGTTTATTTTTGTTCAATGTGGATTTACTCATCGAATGAATAAGAGACTTGCTGATTTCGCCTATTTCTAGACCTTGGAGTATGTGAATTGCATAGGCATCAAACGTCATAATCCACTCGCTTATTGCACACCATTTGAATTCTTCATAACCCTGTAAAGCAGAAATGTGAAAAAATTGTAAGTATTAAGGTCATTTACAAAGTAGTATGAAGTTCTGTAAATCTGATCTATCTGTCAACTACAGAATTGCTATTGGAAGGGTTCAAGAAACCGTATTCCTGCTGTAGGATGAGGGATTCACATTATGATATTTTCATCCCCACTGTTGTATTCAATTCAGTATTTTTGAGAAGTTCATCTGGAAATCTAGATGGTAGATGAATGTTTTCTCATAAAATCAATGCTGCAAAGATGAAAGTGTAAGATTATGATGAATGAAAGCCGTGCACATCTGCATGATCGAAGCTATGTCTATGTATGCATACATACAACAAGATATGTGAAACAAGTTTATTTGTCTGTTTGTTTATTACATTCGTGCAATCAGTGGTGTCATGAATTCTAATCACATAGTATATGCAGAAATGGTTTGAGCATTGTGGAATGAATTAATGTATTATGAGGGAATTGTTAATGGAAAGCTTAATAACATAGTGATAAGCTCTGGTTTTGGTAATATTCCCATCAAAATAAAAAAATGATCATTGTGTGTAAACTTTGCATTGAAAACATACTTTCAATGCATGAATCCAGTCATATAAGTGGGGTTACTTGTTCATGTTGAATCAGATCAATTGACAATCACAGTGAATGGAGTACAAAAAGGTGAGGCATTAAAGCCACAGGGTAGAGGTTTTGTGATTTAACTCAAACGTGGAAGGCGGAGGCCTATAGTGTGAGACGTGAATGCCAGTCACATCTAGAGCAAGACGACAAATGAAAGCAGGTGGTATGGATATCAGCTTCACCAGAATGAAATAATTGGTTACAGTGGGTTGAAATGAAAGCAGAAGGAGCCAGTTTTTCGAGTCATTCAGTGACCTAATCAGGTAGTCTTTGAAACATATTGGTCGGCCACAGGAGGATAATCAACTTCATGTTTTCCAGTCGTGAGTGATGACCAAATTCTATCGATGGACGTGGCGAACGAGCGAAGACTTTCGCAATTCTCACTAAGTAGAATACAAGTAAGTTGCATGGAGGTTATCAGCTGGAAGCCATGGACCCAGAATTATGCTCTCCGGCACTCGCATCCAATGCGTGTGCTCCAGATAATTCCGTCAACACACAAGAGCCGGACGAAACCAACTCATTTACTCCATAGTGATTACTGAATCTGCCTCACTCAGTCATAAATGTGGTCAACACGGTGGGAATAGCACAACGGTAGTGTTTCAGACTGTCCATTCTGTGGCGTCACACCATGTAACAGGTGGTCAACAGATTTCACGACTTTGCAGGTACTTCCATCTGACGATTGCATACAAGCGTGTAGTCTAGATCCAGAGAATACTTCCGAACGCCGCCATCACACTAAACACTGCTGATCATTCTCAAAGCGGAATTTAACTGCACACGCATCATCTCGTCACCATGTCTCGACGCCAGCCTCATAAATTTGTCTGTTCGTGATTGGAAGAGCTGGCACTGAGGATAATCACACTTCCTTTTTCACCAGTTCCCTGACCAATTTCTCTTACCTCCTACTTTGTCTACCTAACTTATCAACTCAACTGATGCTTATATATTATCTGACGTTATGCGACAAACTCATTTCTGTATGAATAACATTTCTGAATGACATGGATTAAACGCATTAACCAAATAATAAATTCATGTGTGGGTGAGCGATGTAATAAGACTAAGCGACATTCTGTCTGAGAACTTTCAGTAATTCCTCTACTACAGTGGAGATAATTGAAATTTTTCGGTGTGCATACACATCTAAACATTTCAAGGATATGTGCATCAGCATACCACATCACTTACACTTTCATATTCCTTGATGTAGTGAAAATCGTTGGCATCGAGTACTTGGAGACCAACATAACAGTAATGATCGACTGAAGAAGAGAAAAAACGTAATCTGACTGAATCCTGTCTCCCATGAATATCAGAGCTCCCATTTTTACCAACTGAAAGAATGAGAATTTTCACTAAACTAACGTTGCACAAGCGATTGTTTACAGTGTTCCTTGACACCCTGATACCGTCAAATAACCATAGAGATCATTTGCTGACTGATCGTGTTTACAAATTTGCAGGTTATTTAGCACATCATGTTGACCAGGCTAGATTCAGTGGGTGAGAAATGTGGTCGTCAAAGTGAAGTGTGACTTAATTTGCTTTCACTTTTGAGGCAGTTGAGTAGTTGCATGCATGGTTAGGTGAATGATGGCGAAAATTATTCGCATGATTAGTTTAGCTTAGATTGAGAGAGAACGTCCAACTAAGGAACACAAGTTAGTGATGATGCATATGATGGCTTGTTCATTATGGCTGTATGACTGTTAACAAGACATGCCTATTTCGAGTGTGTCCAGGTTTTGCGAACTGTAACTGGCCAAATCCCTATGCCCTAGGACTGCAGAAAAGATAATCGGATAATCAACAAATACTTACAGTCGATTGAGGAGAATAACATCACCAGAAGTGCGATTAATCGGATGGCACAAAATGATAACTTATCCTCAAACACAAAGGCAGTTATTACGACACTTATGGTAAAAGTGGAAACATGACATACGAAATTCGCAATCGTCAGGTTGTAATGCAAAACGTTATTCGTCAATGTCTGTAAATGTGAATGTAGAATAGGACATATGAGAGTGATTGAGGACTGGAAATGCACATAAAATAGTTAACTATTGACTGAAATCTGTTGTTTTCTTGGCCAGTAGATACAACATGCCATCCACTGCCTCCAGAAAGGAATGAAACTTCCCAGAGAAGAAATTCTCAGTTGATGATCTTTTATGGGAAAAATGTCAAGTTTCCCTAGTGGCATTGATAACGTTCACCAGGGTAGGTTAGAGAGAAGACAACTAATTTAAGTGAAAGCAACACTTTAATCGATGAATCATACAACTCCACAATCATCCTGCTATAGTCCTGCATATATGGTACCTTCGTCTAACACCTAAAAAACATCGAATGTATTCGGAGATTGTGAAAATGTGTTTCCTTTTGATTAGTAGTTCCTTTCGAGTCTTCGTAAACAGTCTCTCTGTCAGCGTGACGTTCATTGCATGAGAAACGTTTCGCTTTCAATTGTTAGTCAGTCAAATGCTAACAATTTGTTACCACAGGCTGTCGACTCGACATTCTTAATGATTCGCATTGAGCGAATATACCGCGATGGAGGCAGTCAGTGCGAATTCTTACTCGTCAGATTTATGAGCTGCATAATATCAATATGTTGCAGCACTTCAACCAAGTGTCACTAGTAGGTGATGGCATTTAGTACACTTGCTGTGTACTACGACGCCAACACCCGCAACTGTGACTCGATATGCATAGTGAAGTCACTACACAAAGAATACTGACGACCACACGCAGCACTACCAATCCATCTCAATTCAGTCATTTCACTGGATTTCTGCTTTGTTTGTGTCACTTCTCTCCCTCACCTATTTCGGAAGACGGAATCAGAAAAGCTGGTTGAATTTCAAATGACAAAGATAATATCACAGTATTGAAACTTTCCCTAAACTTCAGTGAATTCCACTGCGGTTTCGAAAACTTACGTCAATATAAGTCAGTCCTAATATGAACATTCCAGATATTGTCATGAGCAAAGCAGTAAGATCGACCAAAACAAACAGTATTCTTGATTGTAAGCTCCTCTTCATTTTTCTTCTCACCACCGCACACCAAATCCACTGACTGAAGATAACTTGAGGTAAGTGAAAACGTTGGATTAGTCAGAATATTGTTGGTGATATGTTAGTGTTAGAATATCATTTGTAGAGAAAGGAATATGTCTGATATCACGAAACACTTCCCTATGCAGGATTGCTAGTGGCCTGATAGCGGTGTCTGTCTAGCAAATAGACCTTACCCGAGTGTTATGTGAAAAGCACCTTTTCTTAGCATGTCCGACAGTCATGTTCAATACTGAGTTTATCGAGGAGGAATTCTCCTGTCATTCCTTTTCATACCTGCCAACTGGGAAAATTCATCGAGAAATGGGATTTCTCCTTCCTCAACATTAAAACAGGAATGTGAATACCAAGAGTCCTGAATAGTGTTCGTAGTTCATGTTAGTTGGCATGCTTCTCCACCTTCATTGTCGAAATCACAAAGAAGTTGTGCGACAATCAAATGTCGAACAAGTGAGTGTTTATATTGTGCAGTGAGTGACAATATGAAGACTCAGTTTGTAAGTGTAGCGTAACCAACTTGATTTTTCTATCAACAAGTGTCGGAATCGAATTCCGAATATTAACGTGATCGTTGGTATGCATTTCTCTGGTTATATTGTCGAAGTCTGGAAGCCTGAATATTTCGGAGTAACATTTGAGGCGACACCAGCAAATGCTGAAATAGCCAACTGCTCAGGTGTTTCCGCGAAATAACTAATATTCCAACCGAAATGTAAAACATGATTGGCAGTTGTTTAGTGAACAGCTTAGCTTTCAGAGCAACTCATCCTTGTATCAAGGAAGTGTTCGTGATGAGTTGATTGACTTCAAGAGGCGCAGATTTCTCCTCGATACTGATTGACTTGACAATGTGTTTGTTAAAGGAGATCATCTCCAATCAATTATATTTATTGCATCGGGTGATTGAGCGCAGTTCAAGTTGAACACTCTGAACAGAAACTGAACTGAAGAAAGAAACTACGAAGAAGATCTTAATGTCAGCCATCAGAATGAAATGGGAGACATTAGGCAACATTCCTGAAGAAACCTGTGTGTAAGAACACGGGAACCCTGTGAAAGAGAGGTGGAAGGAAACCTGAATAACCGTGTTAGGAAGGAAGAAGAGGGGATAGGACAATGAATGGATGTCGATGGACACACGGATGCTGATAGAGGAGGGGGAGGAAGATGGTGAAGCATAAGATGAACCAGTGCAGTGCAGTGCAGTGCAGTGCAGTGCAGTGCAGTGCAGTGCAGTGCAGCGATGAACAATGAAAAGAGGAACTGAGTACAACGTATAAAACACTACACTGGACAAAGAAGTGAAGGCGAGTGCGTGGAAAGATGAAAAACACCTCTACGATACATTGGCAAGTGAGAGAGAACAGGTTGCTTGTGGGAGAGACAGAGACCTGACAACATTGTATGAAATCACCAGGTTACTATCTGGGAGAGAATACATCAGTACGTATGAAAGCAATGAAAGATAGTGGAGGGAAGCTGGTTACCTACCGCCAAAGAGAAGAAACAAAGGAAACGATGGGGATGACCACTTCAAAGGACTCTAGAATTGACGTCCACCACCACCTGTAACTGGTGCAGAATTATCACCAGCAACGGTAGAACTATCAGCGAACACAGGCCCTCCAACAAAAGCAGAATTCCTGAATGCCATAAATCTGTTGAAATTCGTGAAAGCAGCACGACCAGATGGAATTCCTCCAGAAGTACTGAAAACAGACACAGAGACATCACTGGACATGTTCACACCACTACTGTAGAAGGTTTGGAAGGAAGGAAGGAAAGGTACCTGCCCACTGATTCTAAGAAGAAGGGCTAACTTGTCAAACTCTCAAAGAAGGAAGACCTAAGTCTTCGCAGGAGCTGGCGAGCAATCATGCTCCTGTCCATTTAAAGAAAGCAAATTATTATGCCGCATCATCCTGGAGAGACTAACTAATGTGCTGGATTCAAAATTACAACCGGAGCAGGCTTGCTGGCCTCAGGAAGAAAAAATCATGAGCGAATCGAATAGCAACGCTACGCATCATTATAAAACAGAGTATAGAATGGAAGTCAACTTTCCACCTCAACTTTATCAACTTTGAAGAGGCCTTCGATAGCGTCGACCGAGAAGTAATTCGGCAGTTGCTTGAACACTACGGAGTGCCACAAATCTTTATCAACATTATTCACCAGCTAGCTATATGGTATATGATGCTACATGCCAAGTGATTCACAATGGAATGCTCAGTGATGCCTTTGAAGTGAAGACAGGAGTACGACAGGGCTGTCTACTTACACCGGTCATGTTTCTGATTGTGGTGGACTGGCTGATGCAAGAAACTGTGAGGAGCGAGAAGATGGGCATGTGCTGTTTGACCAATGAAAAGACACCAGAAGATTTTTATTTCTCCGATGAGTATTTATGTTTAATGTCTTGTCGAACAAACTGGAAGATCTGTAGGCGAAAACCAGCAAGTTGACACAAGAGACATGACAGCGAAGACGGGACTTCAAGTGAATGTAGAGAAGACAGAGGTGACGAAGATACTCAACGAACAACAGCATAAAGACAAGCACCAATCACCATCAACGGAAGTATTCTAAAGGAAGTAGTCTCTTTCACCTACCTAGACAGCATCGTTTCAACTGCAGGCGGCACAGACGAGGTTGTTAAAACCAGAATAGGAAAGGCATCGAGACAGGCTTACACTAATCTGAAATCAGTGTGGAGATCGACTGCATTCAGCACAAAGAACAAGATCTGTATTTTAGACATCAATGTCAAGTCAGTGCTTCTGTATGGTTCATGCAGAGACTTGGCGTGTCATGAAAAGAATTTCCAACAAACTACAGACATTCATCAACAGGTGCCACCGATACTCCCTCAATAATGAAGATCAGATCAGATGGCCAGAAAGAATAATGAAGGAGGAATCTGGCTGGCTAACTGGCTGGCTGGCTGTCAACGAACCATACAAGAAGCCATCGCTCAACAAATATGCACTAGAAGGAAGTGGTCATGGATTGGACTGAACATACACTGAGAAGATCGTTTGAGGATATCACGCACCAGGCCAGTCACTCAAGTGGAATCCGTGTGGGGAACGATGAGATGGGCGTCGCAGCTGAGGGTGACATGGAGGAGATCATGTGAGGATGAGATGAAAGCTTCTGGTCATTGGTGGTGCCAGATTGAAATGACTGCAGAGAATAGAGTGAAATGAAAGCGCGCCAATTAAGCCCAATTTCCTCTAGGAATCCATGGATAAATAATCTAATAACAATAATAGGCTAAAAATGTCTCAATCACTTGATCTGTGAAATGTCAGTGATTTGCACTAGTTTGTTGAGTGTGGTGAATAAAATTATGTGAGTATTTACTGTGAATTGAATGAAGAAGCAGTTCGATGAAGATGAGCTGCAGCAGTCATGTGAGGAATGCCCAATTCACAACATGATTTGTGATGGAGCATGTGACAGGTGGCGAACGCCATGGAAAATAATTGGCTTCACCTTACAAACGATAAACAACTTACCAAGTATGGCATATATTGTACTGAAGAACCAAAACACGTGTTTTTCTGGTGGATAAATGGCAAGTTGGCTGCAAAAATGTATTCCAAAGAACATATATTAAAATATATGCGAGCAATGAAATCAAGTTAAACTGAAAGCTGATATTTTTGTTTGATCCACTGTGCACACAATACAGTAAGTAATAAGCTAATGAAGAGTGGAATAAACCCCAGTGTCATAATTGTCAATTCCTATGACAATTCAGAGGAATGCATAAGTGTAAAAATTAGACTAATAAACCAGGTATCCATAATCAGTTATACTGATTATTTAACACAAAGAGCATAAAATGTCATTTGAACTGTACTTACCCGGTGAGTTCGTAACCTGCGTTACATTTGCACGTGATCTGTTATACTATAACTTTAACGTTACCAGCCGTTTGATATAGTACTTTTGAGCACCAAAAGTTACGTTTCGTTGTTCCTGCACAACGTGGTATTCTATATCGGCAATTTCCGCCGTACAGTAGATCTGTCTGTATAAAAGAAAGACTCGGAGCATATATAGCTTCTTATTCTCAGAAACTAAACTTTCTGAGCATCATACGCCTATTCTGGAACGTTAAAGAGACACCCACTTTGATATACACAGCGGAACCCAAGAAATTACTGAGAAAACAGGGGAGTCAAAACAAGGACTAACTTGAAGAAAAGTTATTTGTCTGTAACACTCAGTTTAATTACGAACCAACGCTGTTAGCTTCGAGACACAATAGTTCCGCAATATACGTTGCCTGAAGTGTAAAGAAACACTCGCTAGCAACTGTCATATTTGATACATAAGTCGTTACTAAACCTTCTGTGACTTCTGGTTACTTCACTTGTTCTTCGGTATTGACGAACCCAATAAACGAGTAACTACTACTGCCACACCATGGTCCACCCTAACAAACGTATATGTGCTATATATACACCTAAACCTAACCCTAGCGCCTCAACTAAAAGAGCACGTTCACTAAGTGGTTCGACATCAAGCCATAAAAGAGGTCCTGAAGTTAAGGTAGTCGATCTCATACCGGAGCTATATAACACTTCGCGTAAAAACAAGGAAGACTTGATAACCCTCCAGAAGCAACTACAAGACATGAACGCTAAGCTTGAAGTTGTTCTACCACTGCTCCACCTTTGTCAGCCTAATCTAGAAGCCAGTACAGAAACCTTATTAAAAACAGAAAGTGTCCTAGATTTCATTGCTACAGAGGTTAATAAAAGGATTATGTCCTCACATAATGTATTAGTATACAACATACCTGACCACGAACCGATCAAGCAAGCAAAAGCCTTATGTCTGCAGGCTTGTAACATGTCTTCTACAGAATGCCAAGTTACCCGTCTCCGCAAGAAGTTGGGGAAATATACCTGCCCCTTGCTGTTCAAATTTAGTGGCTCTTACCATGCCAGACACTTCCTATCATCCAAGCAACTTATTAGTGTATCCACACCATATAAAAATGTCAAACTTTCGCAAGACTTAACACCTTGTCAGAGACGTAGTCGCACAAAAATACCAAAAACTGCTAATTCTAGTCAAGCTCTGGTACCCAAAACAGCAACACAATCTATTAGCGAACTGGCTACTGTACAAACACAATGGAATGAGGAATACCAAAGCCCACAAACTAGCCCACTCACACACAGACGTAGAGCCGATGACACGACGGTAGGCTTGGACAAATCGATGAACTACACTCAAAAACAGGCACACGATCTCCTAAAGGTGGTCTCACTGTCTACAGAAGTGGAAAGCCAGTCCCCGTCTTACCCCGTCACACAGGTCACCCCCAAACCAAGTGCTACGCTATCGACCCATCAAATTACTGAAAACGTTATTATGTCATCACCAGGTGTCACTCAGCCTATAAACATACCCAGCACCAGCCACAAGCACCCTGTTATCATAGGACCGCCCCCAAGCTTAGCGCGTAAACAGTCAAATCTATCCCACCTCAGCCAGTGCAAAACTTATATGCACCAAATAGGCAGATGATAAAGAGTACAGATAGCACTAGACACTCTTACACAAACCCCACTATGCACCTACCCAGGTTAAATAAACTGCCGAAAAGGCAATCAAGCAGTCTCACCAATAGACGAAAAAACAATACAAATAGTCAAAAGACCATTGCACCCTCGCAAAGTCACACTAGGGAAAATGCCAAACGTTATTTCTCAGGTCATCCTATGACCAAGTCAAATAACTACTCTCCAGGCGACCCACACTTCTTAACACTTCCGCGGTCACTAGCAGATACACATCACCGCCGGACCCCTCAACGATCACAGTTATTGGATAGGGAGCAAAATGGTAGTCACAGACTATGCTTTCCGCCTCACCCATACGCCGAAAGACGTGGGTCATACGCTTCACAAGGACAAACTTACAACAGATCCCCTAAAGAAAATCAAGGGGAATATGAATCTGTCTATGACCAAAATGCATACGGCAACCAGCGGACAGGTGTGCCATACAACTTATCAATCCCCGTTACTTCTTATGAACAGGGTTTTTTCGGACAGCCTACGGCTGCAACGCCACCAGTAATGCAGGTGATTCGGATGCTGTCGGATCATCTGCTCTCTACCCTGACCAACAGTCTCTATACCAATCACAATGTAGTGAATACCTCGCTCCTTCCGAGGTAAACAGTACCGAATCGTCACCCTGTACAAAAGGTCATGACATCGCTAGCACGATGTACGCAAAGGACGCCCAAGAAACGTACCAAAGTGCTGACTTTCTCCGAGATATATCTAAACACTTTTGTACTATTAACTCGCTCTCGTTTTGCCTGATTAACGCCCGCTCTATACGCAACAAAATGAAAGAGATTATGCTGCTATCTCTGATAAGTGGTCCGTCCGTGATAATGGTTACAGAAACTTGGTGTACCAATGATATTTGCGACGCAGAGATCTCCATTGACAACTATTCCTTGTTCAGGAAGGATAGACTGCATGGTAGGGGAGGAGGGTGCATTATCTATGTAAAGTCTGACATCACTGCTACGCAGTGCCCTACATCTGAGCTAAACGAGATTGACGACTCAGTATGGATTATCGCAAAACTTACTCGCTCCACTTCCCTCCTAATAGGATGCATTTACCGGCCCCCTTCCTCCTCAGTCGAATACGACGACAAGCTAACAAGCGTGTTCGCCCGTGTGGCAACACTACCACACACAGCGAAAATTATATGTGGTGACTTTAACATGCCAGATATAAAGTGGCGACCAATTAGCTATCCAGAGCGCTTTGATAAATTCATAAGCATTCTTGAAACAGAGGGTTGGCAACAACATGTGGAACACCCTACCAGGTACAATAGTGTCCTGGACCTAGTCTTCACAAACGGAACCACACCCACAAAACTCCAAGTGGGTACACAACTTCCAGGTAGCGATCACAAGGTTGTATATGGATACTTCAATATAACCAGCACAAAAGTGGCCCAAAAGTCAGGAACAGTACTAACTAGAAATTACAAGTATGCCAAATGGGACGAACTACAATCGTTTCTGCGCTGCCTAGATTGGAGCCCCTACTTTACCAACAGTTCAGCCAAAGAACTCTGTGATCTATTCTATGAATATATAGGCACAGCTCAAGACTATGTTGCTCCACCGCTCCGAAGAGAAATTAAGAAAAACAGAGCTGACTATATACCAAAGAAAGTACGCATCCGCATGCGAAACCATGTCAGAGAGTACTATAAGTCGAATGACTTTTCGTCGCTTGTCACACTCAAAGACACATACGACACATTCAAGGCAGAAAGAGTAATAGAAGCCGTTAAACAAGAACGCATCCAATGTAGTAAAACTAGTAATACAGAGGCACTAGTGAGACTGATGAAAACCCGGATAAGTAGCTCCAGAAATAGTACCCCTAGTTTAATCATGGACAACGGCATCCTCTACGATAACCCTCTACAAATCAGCGAGCTGTTCGGTTACCAGTTTGCTAGCTGCTTTACACAAGAGGACGAAATAAAAGTCATTGGTGCACCGTCAACACCAACTCACTCCATAAGTACAGTGCTCTTCTCTAAACAAAACATTTCTCTAGCTATAGCATCACTTCGAACCTCATACAGTGCGGGGCCTGATGGAATTCCAACCATCTTGTTAAAAAGAGGTGGCGAAGATATACCGCTGATTCTCTTGAAGCTCTTTAATACGTCCCTCTCCAGTGGCAATTACCCTGAGAACTGGAAACTATCATACATATGTCCTAAGCATAAATGTGGACCAACATCTAATATAGAAAACTACCGACCTATAAACATCACGTCAGTAGTATCCAGGACTATGGAAAAGGTGATTGTGAAAGCAGTTGTCGACTATATGACGACTAACCAATTACTCTCACCAGCACAACATGGATTCTTGAAAGGCCGGTCATGCACTACAAGCTATCTTGACTATCTAGACAACGTTACAAGCAAGCGTGACCAAGGCCTATTTGTAACTACCCTTTTCTTAGACTTCAAGCAAGCATTCGATAAGGTGCCTCACAAACGCCTGGTCACTAAGTTGCAATCATATGGTTTCCGAGACCCGTTACTGTCCTGGCTCAGAACATCTTTAGAGGGTCGCTTCCAAGTAGTAAAATTCAGTAATTGCTACTCCACCCCTAGACTTATACAAAGTGGTGTCGTCCAGGGTAGTGTGCTAGGACCGATACTTTTCCTAATCTATGTAAACGATATCTGCAGTGTTATCCGAAATGGCATACCCTACCTTTTCGCTGACGACTTGAAGATAGTCTACAGCTTTTCTCCTGCAGCACTAACACAGGGTTTCTCTCAAATACAAGAAGATCTGAAGAGGATATTCATATGGAGCGAGACCTGGCAGCTCCCTCTAAACCCAAATAAAAGTGGCATCCTCCATTTCAATAAATCCCACCCAGAAGTAACGCTACACTTGGGTGATATTGCACTGCAGGTATACAACACTGTGAAAGACCTCGGAATCACTTACTCCAGAAGTTTGACTTTTACGGAGTATGCAGACTCAGTAGTTTCCAAGGGCAGAAGACTCATCGGTCTTCTACACAGAAACATACTCATACCTGAGGCAAAACTTATACTGTACAAGGCTATGGTTCGCCCAATATTAGAGTACTGCACCGTTATCTATGGTAGCATGAATGTGTCGGACAGAATTCGAGTAGAGAACATTCAACGGAACTTTACTCGGCGCCTACTAATACATAACGAAGGACTTCCTTACGAAGCAAGATGCAAAAAACTAGGACTAGAATCACTCTGGCTGAGACGCCTGAAGCTCAACTTAACACTTCTTTTTCGTCTTTTATTTACAAACCCTAAAACGAAATGTGCTGTCACTTTTAAAACAACACAGGCATATAATCTGCGTAATAGCGAGAACATCATCCCAATAAATAAGTATCGCTCAAAACTTCGATGTAGGTTTTTCATAACGCAATACAGTATGCTGTGGAACAAACTTCCCGCTCCTATACGAGCATGCCGTTCGCTCGGCCAGTTTCAACGATTACTTAGTAAATTCCTCCTATCTAACGAATCTCATCAATTCGTTGACGGCCAAACCACAAACGGTAATGCCATGCACTAAGGTACTACTGGTACCTAGACTCAAGGGAGACTAACAGCAATGACATAAGTATACAATGCCGAAAACTAAACGCAATAGTTAAGTTAAAATCTAATTTCTTAGAAAAAAAATGACCAAGAGTGGACAGGAAGCGGAGTGCGACACGATATGCTACAGTGAACTTATTAGATACTCAAATGTAACCTACTTTTCTTCACAACCTAACCGATCTCACGACTTAACACCTATTTCCTAAAAATCGCCCCTTAAAGTAAACTCTCCACTCCGAAAAGATAAAAGAACTGTCTGTCGGTGCATTTTCATAGCATGCAACTCTTTATTATTTGCCCTTACATCTAAGTACTCTGCACCAACATAGTTTCGGTAGACCCGATATGGTAATGCTCAACAGGCAACACCATGATCATCCCCTCGTGACCAGATAAAGGGTGGTGGTCCTAAGAACAAAAAAAAACCACGAATTTCACCTAAATGTTTATAACTTCATCATACGCTTGTACATAGGTATATAACAAGTTAATACCTGGTCAAATATCCTCTAATCTTTCTATTTCGTAGTGATATCTTCAGCTTCAGGCTGACTTTCATTACTGTCGTGCGCACCTTCATCTTCTTCCACCTAAGCTTACCTCTAAACAGTTGGTTCTGGACACTTCCTCAAGTAAGTTTAATAGTCAGTACAAACTCACCCAGATGTATCATGGTCGATCTACTCCTGCGTATTTTTGTGCCCCTGTTACAAATTTCGCCTGCTGCTCGCTTTTGTTATTCACTTTTCAGATTTACTTAACCAGTCCTGCATTCAAATGGAATCCTACAAATCGCATTCGTCAGTGGGAAATATTGGCACCGAAACCTGATGACGAACGCGCACACCCCAAGGTCATGAATGTGATGCGGCCTCACCTTCAAGAATATTGGATGATTCAAACGATGACCGGATAATCTTCAAATTCGAACTGAGCCTGCTTCAACATGCCTCCTATATGCCATAAATCACAGCATCTAATGTATAGCATAACATTGTACATAATAGTCATCTCTCATTACCAAAGTGATCAAACCTGTAAACTGGTTTGTATTCATGTAACCTTTGTTGCATGAAATATATTATTATTATTATTATTATTATTATAATATTTTGCCTATCCACTGAGTGACAATCACTATTGTGGTACTAATCATCTCCTACCTTCTCAGGATAGAATCACCTGTCGCTTCAAATAAACCATTCATTCAAATCTCACTACAGCGAAATATTCTCTGGATATAAAATATATGAACAGGCGAATTGCAGTGCAAATTGCACACTTCCTCACTCACATGGGACTTTCGAAGTGTAGTCATGGAATGGTCTGATCCTTATAGCAAATGCTTCATGCTCAAGCTTCCATGAACGTGTACAACTGGTCTAAAATGCTGCTATGTCTCTGCCGTGATTCATTTGTAATCTATAGGCTTATAGGTGGAAAGAAGTACAGTATTACACTAGTTTTTTGCTGAAAATTTTCACAAGTGAACATCTTGTTTACCCAGATTCTCTGAGGACATATTCCAAGGTGTGCAGAAATATTGTCTGCAGAGTGCAGTGGTGTGCCACTCCAACAAATTATACAATCTGGAAATGAGTAATGAAATCCACTTGCTCTGACTCGCAACAAATTTTGCCGAACAATAATTTTTACACACTCACACCGAAAACCGCAATCTCAGACGAAGACTCCCAACTGTAACAAATTACAGTTTCTCATCTTCTGAAATTCCACTGGTGAGTCAGATTTTGCAACATACTGATGCAATTGTTTCAGTGCTGAAATACTGGAAGTGTACAGGTTATCATTGATCCACTGAACATCTCCCATCTTTCCTTTCATATTGCTTTCGAAACCACTGAAATGAGGTCGAAGTAGTCAGACAGGGAGGCATTGTCGTGGAACTGAAAACTGTCTTTGTGTGAAGTAGAAAGAGATATTGTCTTAGTATCCCAACAGTCTTCAATCTCGACCGAGTCAGTGAGTGTGTTGAGCAGTTCTCATTTCTGCAACACTGAATTTGCCCATTCATAACTGAAAAGGTTTGACGGAAGCCATGCATTGTTCATGTACATGTGTGGTAGCTTGAATTCATTGAGAAGTGTCACAGGTGAAATTTTGTGTAATGGTTTGGAAGGCGGTGAGTTGCGTGACATGCAGAATTACCTTCAACTTCGATGACACACTCCTCATCATTCTCATTCGAGAAATCAAAACTTCTCCTTCATTTACATTTTCATTTACTCCACAACCTGCTTTAATATGTTGAGAGATCGAAGTGGAGAGTGAAGCGGAACCCTGGTTTAGAAAACATCCACGGGTATAGGATTGTTGGCTGGTCAGTGTTGAGCAGATTATTTGACTCAAACAATGAAAACACACTTCTAATTTTAGCTGTTGAAAAGAAGCGCAAATATAATGAGTATCTCTCTGAGTGTAATGAGGAGATTTTACTCTGTATTAATCTTGGTATTTGTGCTCTTATCTATGTCTTCAGTGGAGCGTGTTATCCTGTGTCATGAATTTCTTGGGGAACATGCTGTAGCATGTTTGACTATTTAATAAGGTTAAACGATAATATTTGGGGAAAGCTTCTACCCACCTGAGAAATGGTACCACCGGTTGTACGTGGTCATAGGAAACCGCGATAATGTATCTGTAAGTGAAGTAAGTCAGAAAAGCAGTGCATCACTAAACTGATATACAGAAAGCATTTCAAATAATAAACGATTGTTTGCATCATTCGAAGAACGAATCACCCAGAATTGTCTGACAGAGCTAAAGAGCGTTCATCACATTCTTGACTGACAGCAAAGTAATCAATTCATTCCCAATGTTTATATGAAAAGGATGATCTGCTTGATGTGGCTGTATGGTATATTTAGCAGTTGAACGTGATCTATCAAGTGAAACATGCTCAGTTGTGTCTCCACCCACATCAATCCTCGTCGCCTCTCTGAAAATACCCGGACACTCATTCCCATTACTCCACTGTTTACACACTCGCCGAGAATATCACACTCAAATCTCTGCTTGTATTCCACTCTATCTATGTCTATCGAGGTGTCATTTTGTCGACTAGAATATCAGTGATGACAAGCGTTGAACTGGACCACTGATGTGTCATTATCATCATCTCTTGTTACAACGGAAGCGATCGTTAAGGAATATTCCGAGTTTACTTTCAGCCAGAAAGGCGGTATTCATTGTACTGATTTAGAGGAGTTTGCAGGTTTTCGAATCAATCAATTGCTTTTGAGAAAACAGAAGGAATGCTCACGGCAAACCGACACCTGAGGTTTAGACAGACACCTAGTATGATTAAGGTGTAAACAAATCGTGAATTTCATTGTTTTGTACAGAGAAACGTTTATATTTGCTCACCTTTAATTTCTTCCATTGTCACTATGCCTGTTCTCTAATGATCCGACATTGAAATACTATTCTCTTTTCAACTAATCTGATCGTGTGAAGTATTCCAGTGTAACTCAGGTGAATCATGGGACAGACAAATAAATGTTCGGTCAAACTGTTGAATGGTATATTTTGTCTGCACAAATGTGTTTACAACTGAATGCGTTGCTTATAATGTCATCTTAAACCACCTCGCTTGTACACATCAAGTGGCACCGTAACTGTGCGATTGACAACGAAAGCATCAGTGTGGGTGGCATTCTTTTCCTACCATCAATGAATAGAATAAAATCTTACCATTGTGTGTACGCAAACGCATCAAACTTGGGGACAATTGATGCTAGTATATGATGGTTGGTTATCAGTTGACCCTGTGGTGCTTAGCTTCGCACCGCTTCACAATAATTCAGTTGAGGAACTCAACCATGGAACTGCACCAATAAATGACAGTCAATTCATTGAGCAACATTATCAGGAATAACAGTTCGACTAGTGAAATGTTCGGTTACCATCATGAATGCTGAACAGGTACCTATAACTGCATAGATAAATTGGATACATTTAGTTCGACAGGCAAATCATTAGCACGAAGGCAGCTATAGACTGACTAGTCAGTGAAACAAATATACAGTGTTTGTCTGTTGTCTACTCATATCTTTGAATAAGGATGATGCTAATAATGGTGTGTTTAATATAAGTTGTATAGCATGCATCCTAGATACATCAAATATTAGTAGACACAATTCAGTCATCTGTAGTCTCTCTCACCTTAAATTAACGTGGAGATGGATGTCTTCAGCAAATTATTTCAAAATGATATTTTGTTTACGAAAAGACACAAACTGATTCTAATTGAAAATACACAGGTGAAATTATTTCGCGAGAGACAAAGTGAATGCTACAATACAAATATACACAGAGTAACTTACACAAGGAGAGAACCAACAGTTGCGAATGTAAATGCCCAAAATGGAATATGATGGAGATAGAAATGCTTAACCAGTATAACTGACGACCTATAGCCAACAAAGATGTAAGAAATAGTTTTCTGAATTGTCTTTCTCTATCTGGATTTATATACACATATATGTGTGTGTGAATATGTACACGTGTAGGTGTGTGGAAATCACAATAATAAAATTCACACTGACTACTAAATTCAATTGCAAAACTGACTTAGAGAGGTAAGGAAGCATTTTCAACAAGAAAATTTCATGAAATTGTGAATTTATAAAACTGACGATGTTTCTGTGAAGTATGTGAAATCGATAAATTCAGCCAGCCTTTACCAAGCAACCACTGATTTTGCTCACGCTGACTCAAGTATCAGGTTGAAAAGTAGACATGCTACTTTCAACACTCACACCTATCGGAGAAATAATGTGTCATCATGCAATACAACCGTCCGCATCATGTATGAACCTATGAATGCTACCCAGATTGCAAACAAAGAGATGAGGTGGTACGGAGTGAAAGTGCTTGGAATCTGCGAAAGCAGATTGAATGGAAGCGGACTCTCCTAACTCTTAAACGGAGAGTCAATAATATGCTCCGATATTGTCACCTAGACGACAACCACGAGCATACTGAGTTATGGAGTGGCTATCATGATTTCCCCATGGACACCGGAGGCTGTCATGCAGTGGAAAACAGTCTCCTCCTGCAGGATTATGAAAGCGAGATTCAGCTGAGAAGGAAGGAATGTCACAGTCAAATCAAACCTACATATAAGGCAGATGAAGAGAAGAAGGGGGAATTCTATAGACCAGTGCAATCAGTACTAGACAAGACCATACCCAAGTTGGCAACATCAAAAATTCTGATGGGCAATGGTGAAGCATGAGATGAACCAGTGCAGTGCAGTGCAGTGCAGCGATGAACAATGAAAAGAGGAACTGAGTACAACGTATAAAACACTACACTGGACAAAGAAGTGAAGGCGAGTGCGTGGAAAGATGAAAAACACCTCTACGATACATTGGCAAGTGAGAGAGAACAGGTTGCTTGTGGGAGAGACAGAGACCTGACAACACTATATCAAATCACTAGGGAGAGAATAGATCATTACGGAGGTTTCATGTCACTAAAAGCTATCGGATGTCAATCCCAAAATGTAATGTGAGCTGGTGATTGTAAAGGTACGTGTCAATGTAATTCCAGCGCGTTCGCGAAATCAAAACAGTATTCTCCTGAATATATCACTGTGGACGAACCACTCTGATTTCATAATCTGAATTTCCCACTTGCCCCTTGTATTATCTTTATCCTTCATCTACATGTCAGTTTCTCAAATAACTGATGATATGCTGATTGTGACGTGACAAGGAGATTGTGCTCCATTCCAAAAGACACATTCAAACTTCTTGACAACGTAAGTGACATCAACATCAAGGAGATGATTCGGTATTCTCTAGATGAAAGTCATTTGTTTCCCCT